TCCCACAGCACGATCTACGAAAATCGTGAAGAAAGATTCGCTGCCTCGTATTGACCTCGCGGCAAAACGATTTGAGCAGAAGAAACCGGCCACTGATCCGGAGACAACTCAGAAGAAAAACATAAGACCTGCGGTGATTACGGACTATATCATTCCTGATGCACCAGCAAAAAAGATCGGACCGGCTGTTCAGCCGATGAAAGAAGAAACCCCTGAACCTTATCGGTTCTCAGCAACTCCTGCACCAATCCTCGGGAAAGGACGTGCAATTATGACGGAAGAACCGCCTATCGCAAAGGCGCCTAGACTGGCCTCTGAACCAGAAACAACTCAGACCCCTAAATTCGTGTTTTCCGGAGAACCAACATCCGTCCTCGGAAAAGGGAGAGCCGTATCCACGGCGGAACCACCTGCAGCCAAGAAACTCAGGTTTTACGAAAGTCCGGCTGATGATACCGACACAGCCGATGAAAACCCCATCCCAAATTCCTTAAACCTCTCCATGCCTTCTGCGGAGATCCCCGCCGATAACATCGATGCAATGATGCAACACCGGGAACCCGCCCAAGAACCATCTTCCGACTCAGACTTCGACATGTTTGTAGAACGTGTCCGTCTTATAAACGAGGCCCACCGCCTGAAGGATATGAGCGAAAATGACCCTGATGAGTTTGCTCGTCTTGTAAAGAAGGAAGAAGAAGAAACCGGACCGCACTTTGTCCGTTTCACAGATATGGAATCTAACGATGATCGAAGCGAAGAAACAATCACACTCGCTTCCGAACCCCGGGCGCTCTACGCGCCACACCCTGCTTCCAACCCTATCGAAAAAGTATGGTTGGACTTAGAAGAACCATCGACGCACAACTGGCGCATGGTTGATGAAGAAGGAAATGAGATCGAATACGACGGCCCTGACGACGGCCTCGATTTTTAGATTGAAGATTAGTTATGGTAAACTAAACGGCTTATTGAGGGGGTAAAATCCCTGATTTATTCTCGCACGACCCCCACCACGAATACCATTTCCCGACTACTTCTCTATGATCCCAGATAACGACTTCGACGATGCTCCGCAAAGAGGATAAACTACGACGAGCCCGGCACGGCTTTAAACTGCGCATCGCTCCGCAACGAGGATAAACTATGATCGTCCGAGAAGACGTAAAACTAGGAGAAAGGACGAACTCCCCGAACGGTACCCACAGCCCTGGAACCCCTTATCCACGATCCTTCAACAATCAATGAAGATTCATTCAACAAAGATTTAGAAGACCCCTCCTCGCGAGACGACCCCAAGAAACTCCTGCAAGCCTTGGCACCTACGCCTGGACCCCGCACCTTCCTCACCCAATGAAGATTATATCAACAAACGGTTAAAAGAAGATGACCTTCAATATCTAGATAGATCCGAAAGATCTTAACAACAAAAGATAACGAAGAAGAACCTGAGACAGAACAAACCCTCGGAAACTCCTGCAAGCCCGCGGATCTCTTATCCACAGAACCCCCCTTCGACATCCTGATAGATCACGATTGATCTCAACAAAAGATGAAGACGATCCTCCGGAACGAGGCTAAACTATCATGAGGCGAACTCCCTATCCATCGGAATCCTCTAGAACGACTTCTACCTTGATTAAACAAAAGATGAAGACGATCCTCCGGAACGAGGCTAAACTATCATGAGATGAACTCCTCGGAAACTCCTGCAAGCCCTCGGAACCCTCTAGATCCGCCGACTGAATCAAGCAAACGATAACGGAACGCGCCCTTCCATTATGGCAATGATTACCACCCTCTGATGAAGACGAACCTTGATCCCAAGTATAAACAAAGGATTAATGAAGATCGTACCTATCACGGCACCTTCCCTCTGATAGTAAAGAACCGCACCTCGTTCCCGATAACGAGAAGATCTCAGCCTCATGGCTAGATAGATAACGATAGAAGAACCCTAACAAAAGATAAGTCTAGAAATCAAGCGGAGCTTGAAGCGATCTGGAATGCCATATAAGGCCTCTCCCAAGAATATCCTTCCCCAGAACCTCCCAACATCATGACGACCTCTATTGAAGAAGAAACTATCCGAACAGCACTGAAGGACTCCGACTACGGACGCATCCTCAGAACAATTGAGAACAACGCGTTCAGCGAAACCGCCATTCTCACCCCTATGTACTCCCAAGTGATCGACGACATCCTTGGTGAGCAAGATGCCAGAATCGGTGCAGGAACCTCCCTCGCCGTCTGCATTATCCGTACCACGAAGCTGCTGGAAGACGTAGCCAATCGTGATGACCTTGATGAAGGCACGAAGAAACTTGCCGTGCTTCATTTACAGAAAAGGATTCGCGTACTCGCGCTTCACCTCCTTCCACTCGACTTCCCAGACATCGCGAACCAAGCTGTCAGAACAGTCGAGGCAAGGCCTCATGTTGAAGAAAAATCCCGACCGGTGCGCCCGCTAAGACGAAAAGCGGCCACTATAGATCATACCCGTACCACGCTCTGCAAGCGTTGCGGAGGATTCGGACACATGTTTAGAAAGTGTCCAGATTATGTTTGTTGCGTCTGCGACGAACTAGGACCCGACCATCTGTCGGTCCACTGCCCTCAACTCAATGGACGCATCGTACTCCAAGAGTTTAGAGATGAAGAGAAGTTCTTTGCAGCTCTCTTAGACTGGGAGCATAACCATAAAGCGCTCGCGGACCTCACACTTAGACACCCAGCACCGCCTTCGCCCGAACCAGACACTCCCCCCGTACCAGCCGTCTCCACGCCGCCCATACCTCCGACGATGGAAGCTGACGAAGAACATAGGATACTCAAAGTCGGTGACTTTGACGCTAGTAGAGGGGTAATGTTACAGTAACATGGCACGAGTCCCCCGCCAGCAGACAGCCCTCTGCCACCGCACGGCTATAGACGATACCGGAGCCTCACCAGCTCTATAGACGACAGATGACGATAGATGAGGATAGACGATAAGCGGCAACTGCCGGCTTAGATAAGCGGTCTGGACCGCACGTGACATGGACATGACGACATAGGTCTAGAAGACCTATTTATGTTATCAAGATAGAAGGCAAGCCTCGTGTTGCCTCATGTACTGATAGAAGGATACCACGTGGATCCTATCTCTGATAGAAGCGTACCGCATGGACGCTATCTATGATAGAAGCCCGCCTCATGGACGCTATCTCTGACTCATGTAGATAAGCAGATTAGAACCCAGCTTCGAGCTGAGCTTAGATACGATAGAGTAGCCTTATATAAGGTCGAAGATTAAAGTAGATGTTCCTTACTTTAATCTTACTAGGTACTACCCAGAAACTAGTCTAATCAACTAGCTTTATCCTTGAACTCCTTGTCCCGCTAAAGCTACCTGCTCGACATCGACTCGTACCTTCAGTGACACCTCTCACTGTCTGTAACCTGCTATCATCTCAGCGTAACCCCTCGTTAACCACCACGAGCTACGTTCGAGTACGCAACCTTTGCTTGTTTGTAAAGGCCGACGACTCTCAGCACTCGGTACCACTGTCGTGGTTGTCGCTGTTTAGATCATCCTAGTCGCACACGACCGTTTGTCGTAACACCTCCCAACCGCTCAACATGTAGGTAAACGAAAGGTTGAATGAACATGCCGCGAGGCAGTTTTGAGAGAAGTTCCCCTTGCGATCCCGAGCGGCATGCCGATCTTCACCAAAAGGATGGCATGCGATGTGTGTACCGTCAATGGCTCCGATAGCGTCAACAAAGAACGGGAAGAACTTCGGGTTTTTCGTGATTTCGGGGGGAGGAGGGCTATCTACGTTGGGCAGGCGGACGTATGTCGTATATATCGGTGGCGAGGAGAATGCGAAAAGAACTTGTTTAAAATACCTGAAAGAACATAAGCTTGATACCAGGACAGCAACAATATACGTACTTTGATATTGTTTCATTGGACCGCTGAAAGCGTTCACCAAGATGGCGAATCGAGAGACCCGTGACAGACGCATAGAGAAATATAGCAAGCTGCTCTTCTAGCAGTACATGCCTGGAATCTCTGCATCCTGCTTGCCAAAGGAGATTGATGAGCACATAGAAAACGTGCTTGTGGACCCCGAGCTCGCATCTGATGCGTTCAGGGTGTCCAGTGAGAAGTTCGGTGACCCATGCAGTCCCCGACAAAGCAGAGGTATGATATGGCTCTTTGTCGTAGTAGGTGTTTGAGTAAGCTTCGAGCGCGGTAGTTGTTGCGTTGAGGACTGTAATGACCGTGCACATAGCATGCATGGCCATCTGCATGATGCATGCCAGATACTTCTTATCACTCTCCTCTGCATCGTTGTCCATATCCTCTGCCTCCACAAGGTCGTATTCGTCCTCGTTAGCGTCCTCGTCGTAATCAGGATCAAGAGGCATTGTATTGATAGTAGGATAAGGCATACGGTAAGCGTTATCGGAGCGTGACATCTTGTTCAAGCTCCGACGATTAGCAAAGCCAGAACCAAATTCTAACTTGCGCAAATAATGGTGGCCGAACAGACTCTAAACCTGCGTAAACTGGCGCAAATATTGGTGGCCGAACAGACTCTAACTAACGAATTAAATGTGCCGACATGCCGCCGCGACCGTCGTCAAAGGTCAATGCGTCGAATTCCATCGTAATATTACATTGTACAGCAGACAGAAAACAAGCAGAAAAAGTGTACAGTATGATCAAAACACTACGTAGTAGTACACGAAAAAAGAAATGGTTTGCACGAAACATGATTAGTGCAGCTCCAGTGACAGTCACACTCTCTGTATCTCATTCTCAAGCCACGTTTCAAATACGACATCCTTGGCCAGAGGTATGCTACGAAGCACCATGTCACTGCCATAGCTACTTCGTTCCCTAAACTCATCTTTCCTTCGGAAACTTCGGAAGGTCAGATATTTCCAAGTACATAATCACCCCACCAGATTTACAGAGATTGTTGCGATTGTTAGCAACATGTAACATTTTAATATGTTCACTGGTTCGCTAATGATACTTGGTACACAACAAGAAATGTGTTTCATGTAAATCGACGGACCCTCGACCAGATTTCTCCTTCCTGCAGAGCACTTGGCAAGCATTTCCCTAGCCTTAAACGGTACTGCTAGTTGGTACATATACATGCTTCTGGAAGACAATCGAAGTCGTGCCAGTTTCTACATCATAGTCGGCCACGAATTTAGCGTGATATTCTCGAACGCTAAGGATGAGGCGGGGTCCTAGCACAAACATCTGCACGTTCAATAGAATGTCTAGAGCACCTTCGAGTATCAGAGTTCCTGTAGACTCTGAATTCTGCAGGAATGATTATCAGTTACACGCAGGTGTCAGCGACAGGTCGGCGCACCACGAGCTTTGGAGAAGAAGTGTTAGCAAGCTCAAGGCAAGAGACACAAACAAAGCTAGCAGGTGCGGAACTTTAGCAGAAAAAGATAACCACATTCACATTACAAGCTCACCTTGCAAAATAAAACACGTGAGATTTTATTAGCACTCTGAAACAGTCCCCGATGGTCGATCCTGTCGATGGGCCGAGCCGTCGCATGTCACGGAAATGTTTTAGAACAACCCAGACTGAAAGACACAGGGTGAGGACCTCCCAAACAGTGTTGAGCGTCCAAACGATCGAGCCCAGAAACCGGACATCCGCCTCAGATGCAAAACCGCACATATATTTACCAGAGAGCACCAACTCCTCTGGTGTTGTCCAATGAGCTGCATCCTTCAAGTCAACAATTAAAGCTTACCCAGTACATAACCCTTGAGTCCTATTGCCGCGATTACTCCACAGGAGATGTTAACAGCCAGGAAGATAATAACAAGAAATATAAACATCGTTCTAGATTTCTGATACATGGCATGTAACCGAGCAATTATGATTACTTGCATCATGTTTCAGTCGAGTTAATGTCACAAAGGTATTGCAGCTGGGTAACTCACTGCCCAACATGGCAGCCACGACCACATTTGTCCCATTACTTGCGTAGTATATGATATTACCTGAAACACCCAATTAGTGATCACCGTCCTACTAAGATCAAACACTCCGACTCACACCTGTCCAATCATTATGTTCCAAGTTCAATGTTCAGAATCTCACTCACCCCTGTGCATGGGCGTATTGATTGAATGGAAATGAGATGGTCAAGGAATACTCACTGCATCTGTCACCGAGACCAATGGCATATTTGCTGTGTGCTGTCGGTCAGACGAATCGAACACAGCGCATACGAGACATACCCAGAACGCTGATACTGATCAAGAGAAGGCTATTAGCACAGCACCAATCTGTTGACCTCCGAAACATACGCAGAATACAGTAGTCCAATATAGCGTATCTAGAAAATTTTTGGAGTTAGCACAACTGTCGACCATGCTATAGGTAGTACGAACAATCAAATACAGCGCGGTCATGAGAGACCAGTGTTGCCTCTGTTGCGAATTCATTGCATTCTTATTATTTCCTCTGATATGATACTCCGAGCCTGTCACTCACCCAGATCAGTTCGATCTATACACCATTCTTAGTGAGTTGGCTGCTCCACCAATAGCAGCAACATACCTCTTGTTCCAGTGTCAACACTGGAGACATCATAAGAATATTGGCGGCTTTTGAATAGTGTCCTGCTCACCCCAGTCGTATACCACCACAACGGCGGCGGTAACTGCGAAATTGTTGATGTTAGATCAAGATATCACCAACTGATACGACAAACCTGCCCAGTAGGTCAGGAAAATATTCGAATTGATTAGCGGAAACCAGATAGGATCATTTGAGACTGCGGTCATATTCGAGATGCGTGTGAGCGAGTGGGGGATGTTGAGGGGTGTATAATAATCTAGCGTTCCAAATGTGCTAGATATACCACCGTTCAACGTATCGCTAGAACCAATGAACAGCTGACTTGCTTTTTCTGTGGGACAGCGACGGGCCTTCGTGCTATCGATATCTGATATTATCCGTGGTCCAGTGGCAAAAGTGCAGCGAATTCTTTAATATATCACTGGGCGACTTTTCGCATCCTAGATTCCGATTCAAACCTTAAAGGTCGGAATATCATATATACGTCTCGCACCTCGTCGCAATTTAGAAATACTTTCAAAACCGCCTAGACCAATTGTCTAATGTACGATGTTGAGGCCTAGGTGTCAAAGGGCATGTAAGCGATGGTGTGGCACAACATAGTCACGAAGCTTGAGAGGCTCGTTTAGGTTTTGAACACCATTTGAATTTAGAAGGGCAGAACCCCCCCTCTAGATGCTCACTTGGATGCAGGCTCGAACTTGCAAAAAACTGATGTTTGATAGCGGCACGTCGGCATGAGGACTTGAGAACATAGATTTACTAGATTTAAAAGACGTTCTAAACCCTGCGGCAAGTCATCCACTGTGACGCCCAAGTCACAATCATATCCTATGCTGCTGTCGATAGAATGAGGTTTCCGTGTATATGCCGTCTTTGTGGTGCAGAAGTCGACGAGATAAATTGGCAGCAAGTAGCAGTGTTCTGCCGGTCAGTGACCGCAGTATTCCGAGTCGTTCAGTGACTATGGGCCTTGTATTCCTTATATAATAGAAAACGAATAAGGCCACGTGCGGCAGTGATGTATCGATGAGCACGCGCTCAACTATCTCAGTGATTTGATCCAAGCATCAACTTCCATCGAGCTCTAGCTCGAACAGCCAGCACGAGGATGGCGCCCAACGATTTTGACTTGCGTATGCAGTCCCCTCGCCCGGAAACGCCCGAGCCATCATCGAAGCAGGGCAGGCGAAACGCCCAGTTCAATGATGCCCAGTTACTTGACGCCGACGGTGCAATTTCTGACAAGGTATTTTTTCACTCGCATTCTGACATTGCATAATTGTGCCGATTGATCTACATGGCTTGTGCAGCTCGAACGCTGTCTTCGTCATATTTTCGCCAAATATTGCACGCCGCGCCCGCCGCGTCCCCAAAAACACGACTCTACGACTCTCCTCACGCCCCCTGATGATGCGATTCTTGACGCCGCAGGGCTAGACGCGTGGGCAGAAGACACGAATGGCGCACCGTTTAGTGAAGAGACTAAAGAGGAGCTCAGAGAATTCTTGGACGTCACTGAAGAAGGCGAGCTGACGTGCGTGATATAGCATTCTTTCATCTCTCCTACTTTTCTTGCATACCTATGTGTAATTGTTCCAATCTTCTCGGTGCTGATTCCTGTATTTTTATCTAGGTTTAAAGGCTTCGCGCAGATATATCAGCTGCAGACAGAGAATGACGAGGAAGAAACATGGAAAGATTTGGTACGTGCTCCAACTTTTCTCTCTTATACCCATCCTCTTTGTTCCCTCAACGCCGTCTCGTTTCACTATTTCTCGCATCCTGTTTCCATCCTCTCCGTATCTATCATCTTGGCCACTCTGCGATAAAATCGACTCAATCTTGCGTTTTCAGTCAAACCACGGATTTGATCGCACCCTCACCCTTGTTTCAACGCGTCGGGAGGAAGAGGCTGAGAGCAGTCATATGCCTCTTTTCATGCCATGTACGTCAGGTCGCTCTCATTTCCATCTTTATGCGAATGCCAATCACCTCTCACATAGGACGAGACCACAAAAACGTGTACAACCCTTGATACATTTTGAACATACTAACCACAGACTAGCCATGACCTTACGATGCCCATGACTTCATTACTTATCTACCTCCGTATTCACGACTTCGTCCGATCTTTTGAACATTCCATATTTTAACCCACCTGCTGGATGATGTTCACATACTAGACTTAATCACATCTAACATCTGCTGGTCTTCATTCCAACTGAGTGAGAGAACTTCTAATAAAGAAGGGGTACTCCAAAAAATGATATAGTATCAACTGGATGGCAACTGATCCTAACGCCTACGTTGGCGCCGCTGTGCTCCATATATCTTTCATACAGCACACAAGATCACCTTTACTTGACAGCCCCAGTAACCCCATCCCATCTTCCACACCATACCTCCACGCCATCCCACTCCCCAGCATCCCATCCTACACCTACACCAGCACGCCTTAGCCTCTTCTCGGGGACGCGCTGGAACAAGAGTCCCCACTCCTCGCCAGCACGTCTAAATGTGGCCGTGATGAATGTGGGGTCGCGCCTCTCAACAGCAAGGTAGATGATTGGAGGCTTGCAGGTTGGGGTTCCAGAGGATTTAGAAGGGGGTGCAGGTGATGCTTCAATACTGGAAAGTGAAGATGGCGGGCAGATAGGTGTGGTGGATGAAAGAGCAGAAAGCGCATGAATTGTCTCGAATAGAGGAGCAACAAGTGCCGTATCATAGATGGTATCGCTCGACACAATCAGATCAAATGGCGGGGCGAGGAAATCGCGGCTGTCATCGCCCCTTCTTGGCAAAGGTGCTGGCGATGTGATCGATACATTATCGTCCCATTTCCATTCCGTAGAGTTGACACCCCAGTTCAGCTCACGCACATGAACACGCCCAGGGACGAGATGCGCATTTGCATTGATGTTGGAACGCAGAACAGACGCACAGACGTGCATGGTATCGGTAGCAAGGACATCATATCCCAGAGACGCGAGCGCAAGACTAGAATCCATGAAGCACGCGTCATATGCGGCAGAGCATGTGTTTACGATGGTGAGTGATCCTCTTCACGGTCATCTATGGACAATCGAACGCACGCCATGAGGCCAACCCCGCTGCCCAGCTCTACAGCCTTGGGGCGTGCTGTATCATACAGAACCGAAATATTATTGTTTGTTCCAGTCTCGATCGTCTTGGATTTGCCCTTGAATTCGGCAGAAAGGTAGACGGATAGGACTTGGGCACCAAGCCACAGAGCAGTCCCGTTGCTTATACCGTCATCTCGCTGAACAAGATGGAATGCGACATTATTAAACGGATATGCGAGAACAGGCAAGTGTTTTGTGTGGTGAGCTGGTTGGGTATCCGACATGAAGTAATTTATGTAATGCTAACTAAGCTTTCGAAATTGTCGATAATTCTTTAGACTTACCATATAAGGGCAGTTTACAGATGGACTAGTACTACTACTAGTACTGTGATCCTGTCGCATTGGTCAGTGCCAGCACAGCAACATACGTTATGCCGCAGGTTCCGACGACTGACGGGGGCTCGGCTGCGCGGCGGGTGTATGCCACCTAAAAAAGGTTGCTTCCGCTGCAGTACTACTGTTCCGAGTCAGTGCCTCGTGCTGACATGATACCACAACCATCAGTATATAAATTCGGGATTCATGCGGGTCATGAACCGCTAACTCCAACTCTGAATCAGCTGCATCATGAAGGTCAGCACAAAACGCTCTGATATCTCTCAAGATATAACCTTGAGGGGTGCAGCTTTGCTACGTGTAGCGCCTGATCCCATGTAAGATTTCTTCATGCCCTCTTTGTCTCCTTGTTTTGACCGATTTATGCTCTTCCTAGGTACCTGCATGCGGCACCGTCGAGACCATGGCCATGGATGAACTTGGACGTTAATTCTGACTCGACTGATACAACCGTCGTGAATCAATCCTGGCAGGGCTACCCTCAGAACCAGTTCAGGAACTGGACCCCAGATAAAGTTCAGCGAAGTAAGATGTTCGAAAAGTGTTCGAAGGATCGACCTAGCACTATTTACTGGATGGATGTGTGCGACTCCGAAAACGTCGTCGGGTTTACCATCCCAGATATGGGAGGAAATGACCCTGGTACTACAAAAGTGCCAACAAAGGATCAGAATAAGTTTTGGGATATGTTACAGCAAAATGTGAGTCTTATGTTTAATCTTGTATGCTTGTTATATAAGATGTGATTGTAGCGACCAGAAAACATTCGAGTGCGATGGTTATTTGTGGATGATTTGACGCAACCCGTCTTACGCATGTTGGGGACAAAGTATGTGACATTTTTTACTCTTCTACTTGTTCTGAAAGCCTCATACATAGATACAATATCGAGCCATTCTTTTTCACGTCCTCCCTCCACTGGAGACCCTCACGATATCAAGACACGCTTCGTCATGGAAAAGGAGATCGTAAGTCTAAATCTTCCACTTTGGGTCGCATGGCTCATGTGCATGATAGATGTCACTATTGTCCTGCCATTTCTACAATCGCAGCAGGAATCACGATCACCACACACTCGCCAGTCGCCAACTGACCCTAAAGCATGGGACACCGTGACTGGTGAGTGACACATCACCTGCCGCAGCCATCCGATTTACCTCCGGCAGATACCCTGGTCGATATCCAGGCTCCCTTTTCGACAGGCGGTATGTGTATTGATGTCCTCACATCAATACCTTCACGCTCAAACATCCTTCATAGATGGCCACGTACTCTTCTTTGACGTCCTCGCAATCCACATGGTCCGCGACGTAGAAGAAAACACTATTATATCCTACCATCCCGAGTCTAAAGGGCACCGAACACCTGCGAAGCACCTCCGCTCTCTCATACAGTTCGTGGGGGAAAGCATGTACTGGCAAAAAATATTCAGCAAGTCCAAAGACCCGACATTCCTTTTCCTCGCAATTTTATGGTATGCGCTAAGAGAATGGGATGAGTCCCTTGATTTGCTGTTTCGCCATGTTAGCGAGCTGGTATGTAGTTCTTGTGCAGCGTGGAAGTAATGTTACTCAAATACATCCAGGAATTACAAGTACTGCAACTGGATAATATCTCACTTATAAATGACCTCCATGTCCTTCAAGCACGTCTTTTACACTACCAATCGCTCCTTCATGACTTCGAGGTAGCAGTAACGTTTATCGAGACGACCCCCAATCCGGCCATGGAGTCCCATGAGGTTACTGACGAAGAGCGCACGGACTCAAACGCACTTATGAAGAAGGAGTGCAAGAATCTACTCAGCGAAATTGATCGTCTAGAAAGGCGACGGATGATGCTGAGCAGTCGACTGAAGAATGCGATGGACTTTACGTTTGCGATTGTTAACACTGAGGACAGTAGGCGGATGCAGAGGTTCACATACCTCACGATAGTCTTCCTACCAGCAAGTTTTACTGCGGTAAGCATAAAGGTCGTGTGTACAGATCCTTTCTGACTGAACATGCCTTCAGTCTATCTTTGGAATGAACGTTATAGAGATCGATAATGGGACACAAACACTCGCTCACTACATGCTGGTCACCGTTGTGCTCACGCTTGTAACGATTTACATCGTCGTCATGCTTCAAGAACAGAACTGGGTTCACAGACGCCGGGCTACCTTGCTGCAGCGCGCAGTGTGGCCCATTCGTTTACTCTGGCGGATCATTCTCCCTCTACAAGAAATGTGGGTACCACAATACAGGAGGTCGTCAACGGTTATAGATGTCACGGCGTGATGATCATCTACACCCGTAGATGGATTCCAATATATGCATACATACATTAACATACCCATACCCGTACAATATTTCATGTTACATTCACTAGCCTTGATATGGCGCCTGGAAACCACAACTCCAGTCTACTAGTGCTTGTCAACCAGTACTACTGTAATACCACATCCAATTTTGCATGCAGGGTGCCATTGGAGTCCATATATATGGTATCGCTGAAACAACAGAGTCAGTTCAAGCCGTCACAGGAAAAGTCACAAAATACGTCAGTTGATAAGATCAATGCGCCTGTAGAACACTTACTTGAATATCGGCCAACCGCCCAACGAAGCAGAGGTGGAGGTGCAAGTACGGATGGAATAGTTGGTGTATCTTTCAATCAGCAAGTATGTCAACGACCGGGGGGAGCAAAGGAATCATTAGTGCTATGCCTTCGAATGACTCAGAACAAATTAACTTACTCTGAGGCTGCAAGGAAATAGCCTTCATTCAATTGAAACTCCTTTACCAGAACTTGATGCTGCTCGTTCTGGGCCTCCACCGTAAGAAGAGCTTTTGGACGCGCTGGCAAGCTATGCTTAGAAAGATAAATGCTGGCTGCCCATCTCGTATCATCTCCTACATGAAAGAGCAAGCCCCATATGCGTCCTGCAGAGATCGGCATGTGTGTAAGGAACAGCTGTAGAAGCACGAATTACATACCTTGCGCAATAAATTCCATGCGCAATTTCTGCACAACGCGTATGCGTGTCTGGAACATCGTGATCTGCATTTTGACAGTGAACTGGTTCTCTGTATCTCCTTCATACACCTGAATCTCATTCGGACAACCTAAAGATAGATTCAAAGTCCTTTCCATCTCTGATTGAAACGCGATCATCAATACTCGCTGAGGACTAGGGATTACCAGTACTCACTATAAAGCTGAGCGGATGTCAATGACAACCTCGTGAATAATGCATGGTCGTTAGTTACCATACATGCTAGACGCACGTCGTGAAAGGAATCATGCTTGTATGCGGTGATGAATTTATACAAAGCCGAAAGAACTTCTGGCCGTTTATTCACAATGGCCCAATACAAAGGTGTGTGACCCTCGATATTGGATTCTTGAAGGATGTCTGAGAACTCTGCAGCTGGGAGAGAAGCAGCGCAGGCGTCGAGAGTTGGGCCGACAGAGGAAAGGATGAAATCCGGTGTGATGACCATACCACGGATGAGAGATAGAACGGTGGTCCGTATCTGCTTGGTCTGTGCCCTGGAAAATACAAATGATGGTTTGCATTGGACGGAATCTGCTGATATTGAGGACATGGAAACCGCATGGTACGATGGAGGCGCATTGACATCGGACTTGTCGTCATCAAAGAGTTCAAACTCGGCATCCATTGCAATTGATGAGGTGAGTTAGACGATGAAAATAGGGGCTTTCCAATGATCACGGCACGGATAGAATTAGTAAGTAACCAACAAGAATGCAAGCGCTTTGTCAGCGACTTCACGCCATCGAGCTCGCAATCAATGCATCATTCCAAAGCAAATGCAATGGAGGTGAAATTTTTCTCTTTAAATTGCTGGCAGTGCGCACTGCGTACATCTTCTGCATCCATACACGACAAGTTTACCCCACATAATCAATACCCATGACTATCTCCATATTCACTACCAACGACCACGCCAGCGGGTATGCAAAAGGCGTCAAGCGTCACTCGAAACGCTCGTCTGAGCTCAGTTTTTCTACGCGAGCTATTCATATAGGGTCAGAGCCAGACCCCACAACTGGCGCCGTCATCCCGTCCATATCCCTTAGCACGACGTACAAGCAAGATGAAGTAGGTGTACACAAGGTCTGTATTTTAGTTTGACTCGACATACCTTAGCATACTTATGACATGTGTATGGTGAATAGGGCTTTGAATATTCTCGTTCTGGCAATCCAAATCGTGATGCATTAGAGCGTACGCTCGTAGGCCTGGAGGCAGGCGCAGGACACGCCATCGCGTTTGCTTCGGGTAGCGCGACGACAGCGACTATTTTGCAGTCTCTAGGTCCAAACGCGCACGTCCTAAGTGTGAATGATGTCTACGGTGGCACGTTCAGGTACCTCACGAGGGTTGCGAAAGAAACCATGGGTACCGAGTCGACGTTTGTAGACTTGGAGAACACGACAGACAATGAAATATTAGGTGCTATAAGGGTAAACACCAAGGTTTGTCTTTTATCATTTGAATTTAGGCAGCCACTCATGTGAATGCTTTAGCTTATCTGGATCGAATCACCAACAAATCCCACCCTCCGACTAATTGACATTCCGCGCATAGTGGGTCTCGCGCGTCGGGCTCCATCAAAGCCCCTCGTTCTCGTCGACAACACATTCCTCTCCCCATTCTATGCCTCCCCACTCCTACAAGGGACCGACATCGTTATTCACTCCCTCACCAAATACGTCAACGGCCATTCTGATGTCGTAATGGGCGCTGCCATCCTTCCCTCGTCCACACCAGACAGAGACTACGAAGGCCTCGTCCAAAAGCTCCGCTTCCTCCAAAATGCTCACGGCGCTGTCCCGAGTCCTTTTGACAGTTGGCTCGTCCAGCGCGGTGCCAAAACTCTCGCAGTGCGGATGAAGGCCCACGGTCTGAATGCACTCCGCATCGCCTCCTTCCTAACTTCGCACCCCGCCGTCGAACACGTCATCTACCCCGGTCTAGCCTCGCACTCGCTACACGCCCTAGCACGCACCTCCCTCAGCCCACACGCGCAACAGTTTCTCAGCACCCTACCTCCATCGAGCCTTGTGCATGGTATACCCTACGGCGGGATGGTTTCATTCCGCCTACATGGTGGTGCAAAGAGTGCAGAAGCGCTTCTGCCGAAATTGAGGCTGTTCACGCTTGCTGAGAGTTTGGGTGGTGTGGAAAGTCTTGCGGAGTTACCTGCACGGATGACGCATGCGAGTATCCCACCGGCGGAGCGTGAGGCGTTGGGTATTGAGGGGCTAGTGCGTTTAAGCTGTGGGATCGAGGAGGTGGAAGATTTAGTGGAGGATTTGAGGGCTGCGTTGGATGGGCTGGATAACGAGGATAGCGGGTGTGATAGCGGATTCGTGACACCGTCCGATGCCAGTGATCATGGTGCGAATGGGCTGCATTGATTGTAGACTTTGGTGTTCTTGATATCCATTTAGATATTATCGTAATCGTTTTTGTGCGTATTGGATGGTACATTGCTTTGGAGATCTGATTTTCATTGCATAATGAGCAGTTGCTGAATGCATAGTAACTGAACAAGTTCCTTGCCTAGTGACCTATACACCTTGTTATCTTGAAGAGAAATACTTCGAACAGCTCCGAATCAGGACGGTTCCGCTTAATAAAATTTTCTGTGTTAGATCAGATTTTCAAAATAAATTATCCATGCAGTTGATGCCTGGCGTATGCTCTGGTTGCTGGGTAATACAAATGTGTAGCTGCACGTTCAACTCTGGTCCGAACCCTCAATTTACCCATACTTTTCCTACTGATGCTCTGTTCACTCCTTGTTAACTTTGTGCTGTCCTGCGAACTGTTCCATGTACGAGATGAGTAGGTCCGTCTCTTCTTCTGTAACGGCGTTATATATGGACACCCGGACGCCTGGATAGATGAAACATCAGTGATTAAACTATGTATAGAGATGATAATGCTCCATACCTCCTACAGAACTGCATGGAAAAATAATGAGAAGTTGGTCATGCATGATGCGCAAAGGCAAGGACTCACCGATGGCCTTTGAGACCCTTCATGCCTCGCTCCTCTGCTCCAGCAATGAACTTGGCTAACAACCCTTCGCCAATGACGTCGAAGACAATGTTCATCTGGCTACCAGAACCCTCCTTCACTTTACCTTTGAAGATGCCCTTATTTTCACCGTACTTTAGCACATCGTACACCTTTTTCGATTTACGGTTTGTCAGGCCCGCGTAATAGTCCAATCCTCCGAGCTGGAGCATGTACTCAAGAACGAGACCGGTGATGTAAATGGAGAGTACCGGGGGAGTGTTGTACAGGCTGTTATGATCTGCAAGCGTTTTGTACGAAAGACAGATTGGGACTGGGATAGCCCCGAGCCTCGCAGCGGCGTCGACATCAACGATACAATCGTTTCTGACGATTAAGATGGTGAGACCGGCGGGGCCGACATTTTTCTGCGCGCCAGCATATATGATAGCGTGGTCTGAGAGATGGGGAATCGGCCTTGACATGAAGGAGGACGAATAATCTCCGACAAGTGGGAGAAGTGCATTTCTTGGGAGGAGCTGGAAGGGAAAGGAGGCTGGTGAATTTTCCTCAGCCGAGAACTCCACGCCGTCGACGGTCTCATTGGCGCAGTAGTAGATCAGAGCTGGATCATTTGAGAAGGAATACGCATCTGCGGTTGGGATGTTGTCAAAAGATTTCTGGTCTTTAGAGTATTTGCGTGAATCGGCTGCAATGTTAACGGTGCTCCCTCCCATGCGCCTAGCCTCCTCGGCTGCCTTTTTACTCCAGGACCCTGTGACGACATAATCCAGTACCCGGTCTTCGTCTGTCAGTTGAGGGTGGAGGAGACGGTGTCGCGCCAGCATATTCAGCACGACGGCCGAGAACTGCGTGGATCCGCCCCCCTGAGTGAACAAAATGGAGTGTGTGGGCTGGATGTCGAGAAGTTTTCTGATGTTTTGTTCGACGCTTTGTAGATACGCCGTGAACTCTTTGGAGCGATGCGAAATCTCAGCGATACCCATACCGGTTCCGTTGAAATTCAGGAGACCTTTGGTGGCTTCCTGAAGCACGGAAGTGGGCAGAGCGGATGGACCTGCACCAAAGTTAATGGCTCGCGATTCCATGGTATGAAGACTTTCTTGGAAGAGTGAATGATGTGCGATATTTTGCACGTCAAGGTCGAAGAAAACCGGTGGTCTACTTGGGGTTAAACATATGACTCGACGCTTCACACATATGTCAGAACGCTTGATGACATTTGCTTTGGCTTGGTAAATTTCGTCATTCATGTAAATCGCATGCCTGAACTTAAATTAGGTTGGTCAGTCGTCGCAGCCTGAGTAACAGGAGTCCTTTGCCCATATCATACTACATGCAATACGTGATTATGTACGGCTATAGAAATCGTCCAGTAAAGGATAACGAAAAAGTTCTTAATCGAATGTCCAGTGAATTTTGAAGAACACTTAAAGGCGGGGTGCGCCACCGTCGACCCCTTCTTCCCCAGTGAGAGCTGGATCAGGCTTGTGCACATTACCACCAACCAACTCCACTTCTTCTCCCTCCAAGCCATCTGTATAGGACATACTGTGGTGGTCAGTTGCGGGGTTGACAGTAGGCAGCTCCTTTTCACGTTGTACTCTCGGGGAATACGGTTTATGAGACATTGGTGATGACAACGAAGGAAAGTATTGGCGATACGCGAAATATGAAACAACCAATCCGAGGATGGATCCAGCTATAACGTCTTGCCAGTGGTCTGTGTGGATGTAGATGAGGTCAAATATAACAAATACTGAGATATCAACTGACGTCGATAGTCCATGGTGCGGGAAATCGCTACCAGGATAGCTCCAAAAATAGGAGTGACAGAGATCCAAGCTTTGTGCTGAGGAATATATTTTTAGCGCGTCGCCGGGGGTGGAAGACATTCGTGCACTTACAGCGTGCCCCCTGGAATCAAACAGGTGCATCTTTCCGGCCAAATAGTACGATAGGAAGCCAAGTCCAGCATGGGACACTGAAAATGTTTCACAACCTAGTTACCGGATTGATATGACGACTCACAGCTGGCGTGGCCACTTGGGAAGCTCCTCCAACCATCGATCATGATAGCTGTGTTGGTGTTTGTGCATATTGCATCTGTCGAGAGTCCAAAAGTGGGGTCCGAGGAGCCAGGAATGGGCATGCATCGTGCGAGCAGATCTACAAGCCCACGTAAAACAGATGTAAGATAGGAGAAGTTGCATGACACTAGCCTGGACGGGGACGGCCAACAGTGATCTTCGTAAACTGAGTGATGGCACCTGTGATAGCAAGCCCCAAGATGACTGCGCAATTCAGTGAGCTTAAACAAGATATCACGCTTAAAAAACCTACGCCCGAGTGCGCTGCAGTGGTAATCCCAGAAGGACCGAACGGTGAGTAAATTCACTACCAATTGAAGGACGAGCGGCGCCACAATCGCAATGAAGTACAGGGCAACATCCTAATTGTGAACTGAAATTAGGATGTACTCTGAGGACCCGTTATGAAGCTCACTGGAACACGTTCATGAAATGCAAACCTGGAACAACGAGGTCACGCCGCTGAAGGCAGTTCAGAGCTATGTCCTAACTCACGGAAAAAGTATGCTGCATTGAATAAATTAGCAACCGTTCTTTGTGAGAGAATATAGAATCTCACGTTTCATCATGCACCGAAAATTCTCGTCGGAAGCCGTGAACGCCGTCGAGGGCGAAGAACACAATCCTGTTATTAAGGCGTCAACTAAACTTATGATTTGGTGCACGAGTGGGAGACTGTACGCCAAAAGAATTGTAATGGTCCTGCAGAGATAGATTATATTATGAGTATCATGATGGCAAGTAATATGAAGCTGATGCGACGGACCAATCAGGAGCATAGGACTTGATCATTTTCATCCGCCTTTTGCTGTCAGTTCGTTTGGTAGTCCTGTCATAATTTGGGTTCTCCCAGAATTTGAAGGAGGCCATAATTGTTTGTCGTGAAATTGCTCGTCGAAGAGTTGGTGGAGGGTTAAGCTAGGCAAGAGCAGGGCATGGGAGCAAGGTGTTTCAATCGTGTGTAAGATATTCCAAGCGTGTTACAGAATTATACTCCGGCTTGGCGAGCCTGAAACGTCCTGCACCGAGGTTGCACTACTACTGCTCCTCGGACCGGGGTGATTGCGGAAGTACTATAGTATAGACGCCTGCTGCCAGCAGAGCGTTTGATATTCCCACTATAGCACCACTTAGCGCGGCCGTCCAAATTTCACTCCCACCGCCATCATGACAGAGAACACATATGACATATCGCAACACTTCCGCTGGAACCCAGGTAAACACATTTTACTCATCAGGAGGTCCTAAATTTACCACTCCACCTAGATTATGACGCAGTTTTAGAGCAAATCGCTGACTCTGACATAGAAGAGTCAAAGTGCGCTCCTCTAGTGAACCGATCCCACGCGTTTACGACTCATAAGTCTACTTTTTCAGGATAGAATGGGCCCTGTTACGCGACGTGATTAAATACAAGGTGGACGAGGTGATAACGCTCCTTTGATGCCAAGTCGTATCTTCGAAGCTAACTTCGACATCTAGAATATCGCCCTATTTCTAGCAGATCCACTCCCTCACAATACAGTGGAATTCCAACCGTTGCCTGAGGATCTCCTCAAAGCTGGTAACTTAAAGTTACCCCCGTTCCCGCTTCGCGAACAGAATGATCTCAACCACAGCGAGGTACCGAAAGCGTATATGAACCAGCAAGAAGCAGGCGAGGTCAAAGCTTTCATTTTCAGGCAACTGCATGAATTTGATGAGTGCGTACATATCTGTGGTCATCTACGATATCTGATTGCAGATGGCGTTAGCGATCCTCCTTTCACCATACAACGTGTCTGTGAACTCTGCACACGACCAAAACAACACTATAAAGCTCTTGGAAAGTATCTTCGAGCGGTAGAGAAATCATTGCTCGTTACATCCTCGTGGGACGCTTTCCCTGCGGAAGAATCCAACCAAGACGGCCCAACGATATCTTCATTATCCATGACAGCTGGTTTACTGTCAGCACCGACTACTCCGCTCTTCTCTCCCATATTCTTTCATCATGAAGATGCACGTTCAAAGTCACAAAGTCCTCCTCCATCGCCTCTAGCACTAAGTGGCATGGAATCTACGGGACACGTCGAACCCTTGGAAGGGATGCCACCCAAAGCACTTGGCCTAGTAGATGAATTGGACGACCCAGGCCCAGGGCACTTGAGCAGTCATCCAACAGCTCTTACAGCTGTTACCACGGTGGGCTCAAAGCCATTCATGGATACGCTAGAGACAAGGTTTGTGAGAGGAGAGGGACAACATGATATGGATAGCAGTGATCAAAGGATGGCAGATGGTGCGGGAGATAAGGAAACTATAAATTGACGGTGCTTTCATCTGAACTGGGAACGATTCAGTAAGAGCCGTGACATATACCCAACGTCAAGGTACGCACCACGATAAACGGGGTGTATTGTATCTCATTCAAGTAAAATCGCGCTTGATTTTTTCGAGCATGGCCGTCATCCGATACTTCATGTTGGGTTGGCCCTTCCCATGCCCCCGATCTCCAAAGGAAGCACCGCGCCCTCCCCTGGTGCTGCCTCTCTGCGGATTGGTACCACGAGAAGGTTTTATATCATGTCTTCTAGTATTTGCCTTGTACGTGTGAAGGGAATCGCGTGAGTAAGCTTGTTTGCTGAGTTCTCGAAGTGAAATCCCGCCATCAGCTGAGTTATTTGGAACTTGTCGCTGCTTGCACTCGGGATGACTGCTAGAGTGAGATCCTTGATCCTTGGAGTGCGATTGTTCTGGGTCACTTCCATCAGATTTTTCCAGATGTGCAGGGGGTGGGTCGCCATTGGAAGGCACTTCGGGTTTCCGTTGAAGAGCACCTTCCCGCTTTTTCTGGGCTTTCCACTGAGACTTTATCTTCGTGCTCTCAACCCATGACTGCTTTAGTTTTTTGGCTGAAAAAATAATCTGAGTATAACCACGAGATGAAACTCACGAAAGCTCACCTCTATTGAATGGAAGGTGTCCAAAAGTCGGAGGTTTTTTGCGTTTGGTCCCTTCGGTGATCATCGCTGTAGACGGTGACTCCGGTCTCCTCGGCGGCCACCACAGGAATATGAAGCCTAGATGCTGACTAATCACTGATTATCCAATTCCGGAGCCGCACCACAAGTATCCAGGTCCATTCTCTCTTTTAACGACTATCTTGTCTCAACACATCCCCACTCAGTTCATAAGTGTATCTATCTCTTCACATCGCATGAACGTGCAGAACCTGAACTCTTTCGGTAAGCTTGCCTAACGAATTTTTTCTCCATGAGGTTGGCTGACAGGGCGCTTTTCAGATCCTTTTGCTGACGAGGGTGATCCTCTCGGAGGCAACCAAGACGTTGGATCCCAGCAGAATTACCTTCATATTCGTATTCAGCAGAGGAATGGAAGGAAGACTTTGACCACGTTGCAGGGATTACCCAAAGGTGAGGTTGAGGGCTTTTCAACCAGCGATACATCATCTGATTGAGTCTGGCTGCAGAATATGATCCCAAAAAACTCTTGAAGGCTTTCAAGAAGGTCAGAAAATGCACTTCAACCCTTTACGAGCGCTAATAATTTCACACAGGAGTTTGCTTGCAACGGCACTCTCGTTGACGACGAGGAGATGGGTCAAGTCATCCAGTTGCAGGGTGATCAGAGGCTTAAGATTGTCAAGTTCCTCACGGAGGAGGGCATTCCGAAGAACACCATCAAGCTGCACGGGTTCTAGTCCATGTCGTCCGAGGGTGTACTTAAACCCTCGATGTTAACGCCGATATTTCTGTCAGCATAGTTTTTCTTTCTCACATAGTTCTGGATACGTGTTATGTATGCCAATTGTACCATTAGCGATTGTTGATCGATTAGATGTTTTCTCATGTACTAAGCTTTTAAAAGTCTGGACTTCGCATATATTTCCAAAAGCACCAGGAAATATGAAGAAATATCTGAGAACACACTGCATCGAAGTGAAGCTGTCTCTCACAATGGAGGAAATGCAACTTATCTTGCGGCGGGCTGGAGCTGAGCTACTCACTTGACTTTATCTAGTGGCCGGTTGAATCCTCCACGGCTAGAAGGAGGTATGAGTAACAAAACGTGGACATGCGAGCGCAGCTTACCGATTCATGTACTGACGCCATGTCCTAATCTTCTTGATATCGACGAAGCCTTCTTGATTTCCCTCGACGTGCTTTCCCTGAGAATAAGGTAAATTATATATCGTAGTAAGTTAAAAGGCCTGCATACCTTCGTGGTGCCAAAACCTTGGAGCCCCATTGCAGCCATCATAGCCTCTTCATCGGCGTTGGCGGCATCCATAGCCTCCCCTTCTTCTTCAGATAGGGCATCTGGATCAAGGTTCGGTCTCTTTTGAGAAGAGGAGGGACCAGCATCAGCAGATGGGGCTGGAATTAATGATGAGAAGTGCTTTCGCGCAGTATTACACGAGCCTAACCTGGTGGTGGAGTTCTAGCTTGTGAAGGCTTTTCTAAAACCCTCTCAGAATCATGCCTGCCAACTTGTTGTCGGTTGTCGCGCTGATTTTGGGGGTCCTTGTGTCTTGGCTCCTTGTCTCGAGTCGGAGGCTCGCGCCTTTCATCACGTCTTTCAGGCCGTCTATCGTCTCGGCGGTTGTCTCGGTCGTAGTCTTCTCTTCGCGAGCTCTTATAGTCTCGATCTCTGTAATCCCTGTCATGATCTCTCCTGTCTGAATAGGTAGAATAAGTTGTTTGTGTAGCGCTACAAAGGATCTTTCAAGTTGACGTACCCCTCCTTGGACTACGGGACCTACTGCCTCGTTTACGACCGCCATCCCTTTGACCTCCAGCTCTGTTGCCTCGTGAATGACGATCCTTGCCCCGTTCACGATCCCTGTCATCTCTTTCCCAGCTACGCTCGCGCCTTCTTCCGTCGTGTCTGCTTGACATTGTGGTCACTGTCTAAAGTGCATGTGATCACGTGGTGTCATTCAAATCATCTAAAATCTGTTCTTCACTAACTTCATTGCCCTCCGATGTTCAAGTCAACAGCAATTCGGCGCATGATTCCGCGGTTTGTGGATGGTACGTTCTGATACTTGGTCTTTTGCTTTTTCCAATGTGTAATTTTTCTCAGAGGGCAGGACACATATACAGCTGCGAGAGCTGCCACGCTCAGCTCTCCTCACCGACTTGCGCAGACTATGCATTCGCAACCAACTTCTAGGTGTAACGGATGGTAAGCCTCGTTACCTGTTAAATGTGACGTATATGATGCAGTTCATTCTTTGTCGCTAGTCGCCATCGACTACCATCGCTTCCTCCCTACAGGCCGCGCATACCTCACCCTCGCTCATACAAAGCACTTGCAGAAGAACCTGCAAGCACTCGAAAAGGCATCTGTGGGCAGTCTGACAATAAAAGCCACATCAGCCCCTCCCCCACGATCTGGTCATGGGCTGGACAGAACAGGAACGCAACGCAAGGTTTTCTCTGGCAATGGTCCTCATGGTGGGATGTCCTCCCGCATGAAGCATGTCGTTATCTGGGGCTTGCCTGGAAAGATATCCGAACAAGCTGTTGAAAATTATTTGCGTGATTTCCGGCTAGATAATGTAGACGGTAAGATTGGGGCCGTCAAAGTCGAGCTGTAAGTTTGGTCTTGTGATTGTCAACTGCGACTGAGATATGATTTTACCTACAGCCCAGCCAACACGTTCTCCCTATATTCACGATACCTGGTTCGGCCCACTTCGATGCCTGAAGCTCATCGCCTTGTACGGAAACTACACATGACATATTATGAGCCAGAACACTGGGGAAGAAGATACCAACTGCGCGCTCGTGTCGTATACTGACCATCGGCTCATGCATTTTATAATCACTATCGTATAATTTCACATTTTGATGTACCGTGCCAAAAGTAAGAGTATAAGGAAAGCAAACCGTAACAGTAGTACGTTCACATTCGTTCAACTTCCATGTCGTCCCGTGAACGATGGTGACCCTGCAACAATGTCAACTATTGAATCGCCTGGAACCGGGATGAACATACCATACGAACGTTGTCTCCTTCATCATCTGGTGACCGTCCGCGTTTCCGTGAAGGAACGACCGTTTCAGATTCTTTCCAGTCACCACCTCCACCAGCAACCGCACCAGGTCCTTCTTGCGCGTCCGCGTACCGTTCCTCCACTTCTCTTCGGCGCTCAGCTTCGAGCCTCTGCGCTTGTGCACCCCATCCACCTCGTCCTGGATCATAATCCTGGCGGTGCTCGTCTCGTACCTGACCGCCACTCTTCCCCCGTCCAAATTGCCTGCCCTCCTTATAGCCTAGGTCCAGATCACACCGAATGATACGCTCGTCCAGCTTGGTACCGCTAACATACTTCATGCTGGCAAGAGCTTCGGCATGAGTGTAGTACTCCACGAAGCAGAACCCGCATGGTGTGCTGGTCAGGTCCTTGCGTCAGTTTCTGGTCGAGTGCATATGACTACGGCCCGACAAACCGTGTGTTTCGGTCAAGGCCCATGATTATTCGTTTGATACCTCCACCGTCCTCCGGGCTGGCACATTTAGTGAACAACTCATATATTTGCTCTTCCGTGGTATAGAAACTTAAATTACCGATCTATGAGGACCGTGAGTTATGTTGAGATATATCGAGAGGAAAACCTCACGTATAATGTTGTGGATTTGGAGAGGAGATCATTCTGTTTCGCGCGTTCTACTCTGCTCTGGGAGTCTTTGTAATTCGAAGGCTGATCCAGAGGCTGAACGACGTGCGCCATGGTCAGAAAGCTAAACCCAGGGAGACTTTGAGACTCGCTTGTAAATGTCAAGAAAGGAAATTACTTACCACGACTACCAACGCGTCAGCTCTACTCAGGACTCATACTGCCAAAACACTTACTTTAATACTTGCCATCATGGAGGACGTAGGCATGGAAATCCAAAGAGAGGTACGTGTTTGACTGATCAAGAACGATACTTAGTCTCATGGAATAAAATCAGGAACCCACCTTCGAGTCTGTCATAACTGAGAAGGTCGCTCTCCATAAAGAATTACAAGAGGAAGATCTATATACCAAATACAAGAAGCTTGCGCGTCATCTAGAGCTCTTCGACATCCAAGAGAGCTACATAAAGGACGAGCAAGCGAATCTCAAACGCGAGCTTATACGTGCTCAGGAGGAGGTGAAGCGCATCAAATCTGTCCCACTTGTCATCGGGCAATTCCTCGAGGCAATTGACCAGCACACTGGTATCGTGGGTTCGACCACCGGCTCAAACTATGTCGTGCGCATTTTGTCGACATTAGACCGAGAACTGCTCAAGCCTTCGTCGTCTGTCGCCCTTCACCGGCATTCAAATGCCCTTGTGGACATTCTTCCTCCGGAGGCCGATTCATCAATAGCCATGCTTGGAAAGGAGGAAAAGCCTGATGTGTCTTATCAAGATATCGGTGGAATGGACCTGCAGAAGCAGGAAATACGTGAAGCAGTCGAGCTTCCCCTCACGCATTTCGACCTTTACAAAAAGATTGGTATCGACCCGCCTCGCGGTGTCTTGCTTTATGGACCACCTGGTGCGCTGCTTCCATGCCCCGGTGGCGCGTTCTAATGATTATGTACAGGTACGGGCAAGACTATGCTTGTGAAAGCAGTCGCACATCATACAACCGCGTCTTTTATTCGCGTAGTTGGCAGTGAATTCGTGCAGAAATATCTGGGAGAAGGCCCTCGTATGGTCCGTGACGTCTTCCGACTTGCCAGGGAGAACGCCCCTGCCATTATCTTCATCGACGAGATAGATGCTATTGCGACCAAGCGGTTCGACGCTCAAACGGGAGCGGACAGAGAGGTACAGCGTATTCTACTGGAGCTTCTCAATCAGATGGATGGTTTTGACCAAGGAAGCAACGTCAAGGTAAATATACACTTTTTTAGTGGATTTCTGGTTTTATTAATTCTTTGTCGCTATGACAGGTCATTATGGCCACGAACCGTGCAGACACGCTTGATCCTGCTTTGCTTCGTCCTGGTCGTCTCGACAGGAAGATTGAATTCCCTCTACCATCGAGGCGTGAAAAACGTCTCATATTCCAGGCTGTGACTAGTAAAATGAATCTTGGTCCGGATGTAGACCTCGAGGATTGTATGCCAGCTTTCTCGTCAATAATACTGATGATGCGTTTACTGAACATGTCATCTAGATGTGTCAAGACCAGATCGGCTATCCTCCGCAGAAATATCTTCCATTGCACAGGCAGCTGGTCTTCAAGGTCAGCTTATTTTTATGGCAGTTCTGCATTCCTAGTAATCGCTCTGTGTCCAACAGCTGTACGGAAGAACAGATATGTTATTCTCCCAGTTGATTTCGAAGAGGCGTGGAAAGTAAGTTGTTTGTACCTTGTTTGGTCTCGCGTGAGTGTATAAAAATCTCACACTTTTTCTTTCTTCGACAGCAAACCGTCAAACGCTCCGACGATACTCACGAGTTTTGTGAGCCCTTGTTCATCTATCTGCGATGCACAGTACTGATTTCATATCACCAATCCAGACCGGTAGTATATGCATCGTAAGCACATTTTCAATGAATGGTATTGACTGATGCTGATTTGGATCAACTAGATACCACTGTATTCTACGATTGCAATCACATTTATTCCTCGCCTTCTCGTCGTCGATGGTGTCTGCAAATTAGAGCTCTGTCACTTTAGCGTCCTTCCGCTTTCATACGGAGGGGCGCTCATTCTTATGAGCGATATAAAATAACATCCTGTGACATATTTTTGCCCCACTTGCTTGCCCTCGTGGATGAGCGTAATGCTCAGAGAGCAGTGAGGTTCACACGCAGGATATATTCCCTCGGACATGAATCACTATCCTTATCTTAACTTAGCTGACCTGGGCCATTGAAGTTAGGTACTCAAGGTGAGCGGTGTGTGGTGACTGCAAGGACCATATGCTTATAACCTATCCCATAGATGAATAAATGTATTTTGTTGGATGCCGGGCTAGATCTATCAGTACATTCTGAATCTTGCTCCTCGACACTCTGGGCGGCGTCGTTAACTCACACGACCGTCCTCATTTTACAGGAGCAACAGGTAAACAATGACTGAGCCAGTGTGCGCAGCCACCCTCGCAGTCGTCGATCCTTTACATTGGAGGTCTTGAAGACTGGATTGGGATACATATATAAAATACAAAGCTATTCTGTTTATTGGCTGGCACGACCAGTGTTGATCGTGCAATTTTATTTTTTCGCGGGCTGGCCAAGTTCACTAGCACGCTCTGTCGCGACCTGAATTGCACGGGCGATGGTTGAGCGAACTTTGCCATCCTCCATAGCTAAGAGGCCCGCTATCGTACATCCACCGGGAGCTGTTTAGCAAGAAAAGTATCCATTAGCATGACTGGCAACTTCGGGTGGGGAATCACTAACTTGTAACAGAGTCTTTTATTTGAGCTGGATGAGCTCCTGCTTGGAGAACCATGCGTGCCGCGCCTTGCAAAGCTAGAGAAACAATAAGCCAAGTTAAGCGGTGCGACGAGCAGTCTCACTTTGTGCTGCCAGTTCGAGGGCCTCTGCCCTCGGGAGGCCCATCATGACACCACCGTCTGCCATAGCCTCCAAGAATATACATGCAAAAGCGGGACCAGACCCAGAAAGCGCAGTGCATGCGTCGAAATTTTTTTCCTCGAGAAAACGACAGCGCCCAATAGACGAAAATATATTCAGGATGATGGACCGATCGAGCTCAGCCTCCTCTGATATTGGTAGGTTGCTGACCACAGTCATACCTTCTCGAATCTGTGCGCGTCCTCAGAGATTGTTCACAGATGTGAGATGCCAAAAATACACGTACTCTGCATGGAGTGTTGGGCATTGCGCGGACCACCCTGGTTGTCGGGGGAACCCATCCGGTAAGCTGGGCTATAGTCACACCAGCAAGAATGCTGATGAGTAATTTGCCAGCCAGAGCTTCCTGCATTCCAATCTGTGAAAGGATAGCATGAGCCTGGTGAGGCTTGCAGCTAAAGATGATTCAGGAAAACGAAATATTCACAAACTAATGATACACACCTTAAAATGATAACATCTGCTTGTTGAACCGCTGCAAGGTTCTCGCCGACAACGACTTGAACGGAAGAACCAAGACCTCCCAAGAGTCCAAACGTATGTTGGAGCTTTTGTGCACTCTCTTTCCTTGTCACGGTTGCGGTGAAAATGGACGGGAGTGAAGGATCAGGAGAGTCAGCTGTGGGAGTGCATGTGCCAGGTGTATGCGACTCCCACTTGGGGATCTCAAGTGTGTTCAATCTGGACTGCAAACTGGTGATCACCCCGGAGATGATTGCGATCCCCATAGTCCCACATCCTAGCAAACCGGTCATGAAACGTGTGCAAGACGATATACAGCCTTTCACTTACCTAGCACGCAAAGCGTATATCCCATGGCAGAGTACCGTGGACTGTCGGTGATTAAAATACAGATAGAAGTAACAAGAAAAAATTTCGAGTCATCATGATCATCAGAGCTAAATTCAGTCGAGCCTGAAACCAACCGCGGCATTCGCTAATCACCAGTTGTAGAAGGAAACGTTTTCCTACCTGAGAGTCGGACCGCACTCCGATTGAGGGCCTCCCTCGAGAACGATCTCATGCTCGTATTCGTGACGGTAGGTTCAACTAGGTTCGATGCTCTTGTAGAGGCCTCTATATCAGAACCTGTCCTTAGTACACTTCGCGACTCGGGTTACGACCGCCTCATCATTCAGCGCGGTAATTCCGTCATTGAATCATCGGAAGAGTTCAACGGAGAGAGTTGTACCATACAACGACACGGTGTGGATATAGAGATATGGAGGTTCAAGCCTT